CAGGGAAGAGATGGGGAGGAGGCTGGAGGCTGGGACTGACAGGGCTCCAACGAGCCCAGGAGCGAGCATGTAGACACCGTTTGCCTAGCCCAGCCAAGGAAGCTGGAAAGGTGGTGCTGCCTGGGGTGTATGGGCCGGGCTGGCCCCCAGTAGCCTGTGCTTGGGCCTAGTGACTCTGGCTGTGGGCTCAGGCGGGCTGCCATGCGGTCGGGAGGCAGAGCGGGGGCCCCTGCCCCACGGACCGGTAGGTAGGGCTGTTCTCCCTCCAGCCCTTTTGGCCCAGTCCAGGACAGGGGTCGGGTGTGTGCCTCTTCCTGGGGTATCTCTGTCCATCCTCTCCCTGTCCTCTCCCTGCCCTTTCTCTTTGGGCTTTCTTCTCTTTTTCTCCAGGGCTTCTCTGGGTCTCTCTCTGTGTCCATCCTTCCCCAGGCTCTCTGGGTTTCTGACATTCTCAGAACTTCTGCCTTTAGCTTTGATTTTCCCTGTTTCTTTCCTTCTGGGATAGACTGAGATCAAGGAAGGGAGGATTGCCCTGGGTGGTCCTGGCTTGCCTGGGGACAGCTCGCAGGCCGCCACAGAGCAGGCAGCAGGGAGGGCACAAGGCGGCAGCCCCGTGGCAGACGTGCCCATGTTCTCTGCTCCCGAGAGGCGGGAGTGGGGGGAACGCAGGCCAGCTAGGCTGGGCGATCCCCAGGCCGGGCCCTGCTAGGAGGAGCGAAAGAGAATGCTAGAGGTGCAGAAGTCCTGGGGAAGAGGTGGCTGGCCAGGGGCTCTGGCCTGAGCGCGGGGCTGGAGTCCATATTTCCTTGTCGTTTGGCTTGTCTCTCCCCCTGGATGTCTCTTCTCCTTGGGGTCTTCAGGTCTCCTGGTCTTGGTAGGCAGGCACGTGTGTGTATATGTGTGTGTGTGTGTGTGTGTGTGTGTGTGTGTATGTGTGCACGCATGTGCCTTGGCCAGTTGTGTCTCTGTGTGCCTCTGCACGCCTGTGGCTATGTGCCATGTACACGCAACATGGCCTTGTGTCTGAGGGTGTGGGTGCGCTGCGCACCTCTGTGGCGTGTATGTGTGTATGTGTGTATGTGTGTGTATATGTGTGTGTGTGTGTGTGTGTGTGTGTGTGTGCATGTGTGCACGCATGTGCCTTGGCCAGTTGTGTCTCTGTGTGCCTCTGCACGCCTGTGGCTATGTGCCATGTACACGCAACATGGCCTTGTGTCTGAGGGTGTGGGTGCGCTGCGCACCTCTGTGGCACGGCCCGCTTCTCTGGTGCGTCTACAGGAGCTTCAGCGTCCCTGCGTGTCTGCATCTGTGTTTGCATCTCCCGTGTCAGTGTTTACCTCTGTGTGTGAGAGGGAGAGCGCCGGTCTGCGTGTCTGGGTGGACGCAGCCTTCTGAGGGCTGGAGATAAGATTTAGTGCTGATGTGACTTTTACTTGCTCTTGATGTCATGTCTCCTCCGGAACAAAGGGAAAGATGGAGGGAGGAATGAGAGGGAGAAGGGGGGGAGAGAGGCTTGAAGCAGGAAGCGGGGAGCAGGGAGCAGAGGGACTCAGATAAGGAGAGAGGGTAAGTAAGAGGTGAGAGGTAGTCCCTGCTGGAGGGAGGGGAATGCTAGGCCCTGAGGAGAAGAGCAGGAGGTGGCTGCAGGGAGAAGAGGTCTGGAGGTGGGAGGGGAGAGGAACGGGAATAGCAGGCAGGGACCAGAAGGGAAGCTGGGCTTTGGGGACCAGAGGAATGAGACCTGTGGACAGGTTTCTTTGGGGTGGCTTGGTGATTTGCTGGTTTAGATGTGACACTGTGTGTGGCTGTGTGTCATGGCTGTGCAGGGGTGTGCATCGAAGGCTGTGTGTGTATGTGTGTGCACACCTAGGAGAGTGATACATCCGTGTGTCTCTGTGATGTGTTTGTGTGCCTACTGTGTGTCTCTGAAGCTTGTCCCTATAACTATCTCTCTTCTTTTGGTGGTGACCCTTTCTGGGGCTTGATAGGAGAGTCGAGGAGTGAGACTGAAAATTGGGGTGGTGGGTTTGGGTGGTGATTTCACAGGGCTGGGCTGGGGAGCTCCTCAGTGGCACTGTGATCTGGACCCTACAGTCTCCCTTCAGACCTCTAAGGAGTCCTGTGTGCCCTCACCTTCTCTTCCCATCCCTCCACACCGTGCTCGAGGCCTGGCTTTCTCCAGGCACCCGAACGTCTTGCTGCGTGGGCCCTGCGAGCACCTTCTTTGTCCTCCTGGCCTCTTGGAGCAGGGAGAAGAGACCCAGAAGCAGCTAGATAAAGCGCCCTCGGAAAGGACCCTTGGCAGTGCCGTTGGTCACTGCCAGCCTCTTCTCCAGTGGTGGGAGCAGGGGCTGATGCCACAGGTGGACTTGGGGGGGAGTCCCCAGTGGGACTGGGAGCCAGGAAGAGGAAGCAGAGACTTCAGACTGGGTGTGTGTGTGGGGAGCAGGCTTTAGGGACAGAGCCCTCGGGCCAGCTGGGGATGAGCCAGGGATAGACAGGAAGAGAACTGGCCTCCCCTCACCAAGATGGCTGGTGCTGTCACGCCTGAGGGAGCTGAGCAGCTGGTTGCCTTGGTGACAGAGGGAGACTGCCGCATGCTAATGAGGCTGGCGAGGAGCTGGGCAGTGGAAGGGTCTGCAGGGGAGAGATGTGGCTCTCCTTTCAGTGGTAGTTGGGCCTGCAGGGCCCAGAGGGTGGGTTCGCAGCTGGGCTAGGACAGACAGCTCCTGGGCTAGGACAGACAGAAGCCCGGATTTCCTTGAGTGGGGGCCTGAGGGCAAGCATGCCTCTGACCGGAAGAGATGGGTGAGAGTTTAGGACTGTGGGCCTGGGTCCTGGGTTTAGAGGGTTTGGAAGAAGACGCTGGTAGTTCTTATGGAAAGA